CTACTCTGTCAGCATCCCTTCCTCTCCTGTCCCAGGAGGAACAAGGTTGCCTTGGTAACCTGACAGTGTGGATCTTCAGCTTTGGGGGACACCTGTAACCCACCCACAGGTACCAGGATAGCAGAGGCACCTGAGGGCATTCTCACCGGAGGGCACTGACCTCCTTTCCTGGCACAAAGCCCTCAGGAAACAGAGCACAAGGGGCTCAGGAGTCCAGGATTCCCAGGCAGGTCTCACAGTGGCCTCCTTGGGAGACCTTAGGACTTTGGGTTTTCAAACATGGCTAAACCCCCATGAAAACAACATGGTGGGGCTTCAGCACAGGCTTTTAAATTTTCATAAAATCTCTGCTAGCTGAAGATCAGTCCCTCAGCTTGCTGGAGGGTTCATTATTCATACAATATAATTCTGCACAAAGCGGGGTCAAGGCTGCGATAGACCCTGCCAGCCTCCCCCTCCTCTGCACACTTGGCTTTAAAGACCTTGCTAGCCGTACCCCGAACGTTCTGGGGCAAAAGTGACAGAGCTTTGCTCCAAAGCCCAGATTTCCAGGCACTGCCTCTCCTTTCTTTATCACTTTCTCGCTTTCTCAGGTGCCGGGTGAGATTCTGCCCTACATCAGCACCACCCGAGAGCAGTAAATGTGGGGCGGGGTAGATGGGCTGGTCGTGAAGCTGGCACACAGAAAGGGAATGCACTGCAGCCCAGCCTCCCTGAACTGGAGCAAACTGCAAAGAACATCGCCAGCACAGAACAGTGGCAGCGACGAGTGGAGAAGACATCTTACCCACCCTCATCCAGTTACCCGCATCTTGTTCTTCAGTTGGTCGCACGAGAGCCTGAGAAGATGAAGGGAGCTAACGGGACAAAACACCAAGTTTCCCTTTACAGTGATTCTGTTTTATTCTTCCACGAGAAAGCACTACTGGATTTTCCCCCAGTTATATAAATAATAGAGCTTATTATGAAAAAATGTAAGTAAACAGTTCAGATATATTTTAGGAGAAAAGCCACAATGGCTTGAAACCTGCCACCAAAAAAATAGCCACTGCCTGTGTTAATGGCCGGTTGTCATACACCTCGTGCTTGGTGCATACATGTGTGTGTGGCACTGCACACGTGGAACTCTATTGGCCGTGCTGCAGCTGTCACAGACGCTTTTCTTTCTTTCTCAGCACAAGGTATGTGTAAGTCAATCCTCCAGGTTTCTCACCCGCCTCTGCCCAGGTACCCCATATCCGTGCCCAGCATGCATCCTCCACTCACTTCTCTATGGCAGCGCCTAACTTGAAGGGGTCCTCTCCCACCCCTCACCCATCTCACTACACCCCTGAACCTGGAGGACAAACTCTATTTTAGTCTCTCTTCAACATCCCAGTGAGGTGACCCTATAGAGCTCTAAGTCACTCTGTGTTAGAAACTGTCCCGCACAGGCTTTGAAGTAGCCCATAAGGTCCCACATGATCTGGATCGTCTCCCACCAGACTCCCTTTTGCAACTTCTTCTCAGACCTTACTGACCGACCTTCCCACAGGACCGCTGCACCTGCCATTCCTTCTGCCTGTTCTTCTTTTTCTGTAGCTAGCCAAAGACTCACTCCCGAGAGAAGTCAGACCTGCTTCAGATTTGGTTCACCGTCTCAGTCAGGCTTTATTGGTCACCCCTTTGAAATCTATACTTTCTCCAGCAGTCTTTTCCTGCCCCTTCTCCAGGTGCTGCGCCATGTTTCTTGTTTATTTCTTACCCACCATTCACTAGAATATAAGCCCAACAATGATGGTTATGGCTGTTACTTGTCAGGTCTGCAGCACCCAGGACAATGCCTGTCCCGGGGGGAAACGCACAGTAAGTGTGTGATGAGCGAGCGAGTCACAGGACCCTCCAGGTCGGCAGGTCAGCAAGGCTGCATGCGCTCTGGTTGCACTTTCCCTCTAGAGCTGTGCCTTCAGGATGGAGTGGGGGCGGCCTGCTGTCCGCCGAGCAGCCGTCTGCCTTCCTGCTGATAGGTATGTGCTCTGCTCCCCAGGCTCCGGCAGCAGCCCTCACTCCTCTTTTCCTGGGCAATAGTCCAGATGTTGGGGTCACTCCAGCCTGAGTCCTTGGAAGGGGCTTGTGTGAGCTCCCCCATCTGCCTCCCTCCAGTGAGACCCTGCCCTCCTTCCAAGGAGTTTCGTCAGCAGGATGTCCCCTGACAGGGTGCCTGGCCACCTGAGCAGCGCACGGCTCCCTCTCCACTCTCCTTGCATGAGACAGCAATCTAGACACACGGGCCTCCTTCCTACAATGCTTGGGTGTGGGCCACCTCAGAAAACCAGTTTCTTCCTTGTTTTGTGTTTGCCCTGCTTCTGCATTTCACCAATGATGATTCCCCGTGTGTGTGTGCGTGTGCATGCGTGCGTGCGTGTGTGTGTGTGTGTGTGTGTGTGTGTGTGTGTGTTCTCGCTTTGGTTTGGTTTGCTTTGGATTGGACTGGGTTTTTTTAGACACAGTCTTGCTATGTAGCCCAGGCTGGCCTTGAACTCACAGCAATCCTCCTGCCTGCACCACCTGACTTCACCATTGAGAATTGTTATGTAATAAGGGATACCTTTTGGAAGTTTATTACCTGGTATCATAAATGTAAGGCAATAAATGTATGAAAATTCTACATCTTTTGAACTGTGCTCCAGGTCTACAATTTAACTTGTGAAAAGAAGCAGGGCTGGGAATGAATTTAGGAAGATGACTGATCGAGAACTCCCCGGCCCTATCTTGAGCCTTTCTGACAGTGGCCAGAGAATCCATCTATGACCACAAACACATGCATATGCACATACACAGGGATACACATACACAGACAGATACACACATATACAAACACAGAGACACATACACTGTATCCAAAGACACACACAGACATACAGACATGTGGGCACACGGACAATTATACACATACACAAAGGGACACAGACAGACACACACAAAGATACACACATACACAAGAAGCATTCACAACCCAGATGGCAGATGGTGGAGTGCCAATGTCTCTCTGGCAAAAGATTATAGGCCTCTACCTCCAACCATGTCCAGAATCAGAAGCTCAGGGCACTAGAAATTTCTAAACGCTGTCCTGGGCTTTGCTGTTGGGACACTTGCTAGAAGCTGCCACATATTCCATCTGCCACCAGGACCAGTCCAACAAGCTTTCCCTAAAGCTCTCCTCCTCCAGTGCCTCCCTGGAGAAGGAAGAGCCAGCCCTCTTCCAAGCCTTGTCCTCATCTTCCAGAAAGCAGAAGCCCAGACTCATCAACAGTAAGTTCACAAAGGGAAGGAGACGTGATCGTCCCACTGTGCTGAATCCCAGCCACCCGACAGGCAGATGGCTTCCTCAGTCCCAGGAAGGGCTGGGTGGCCAAGGTGGATGTGGATCCGCTCTCAGCTCAACATTGGCCGCCTGTCTCTCCCAGGGCACAGCGGGACTGCAGATGAAAGTATCACTCAGAATAAATGTGAAGGCGGGAACACAAGTGACATCTTTAGTTCTGCAAAGTGCAGAATTCTTTAAATGTGAGTGTGTCTCTTAGAGTAATCTGAACTCGAGACTAAACATTATGTGTAAAACAGCTCATTTTACAGTCACAAGCAGTCTGCCAGGTAAATGTTGTGATACTGGCGATGAATTGATATGCAGAGAGGCTGGAAGCTCACAGCCGGCACGTGGCACTCCTGTAACTATTTACACTCTGCTTCTCTTATATGGATGGACAGATGGAAAGGAGAACAGGCCAATGGACAGATGAAGAGCGCCAGAAAAGGCAAATGAACACGCAGCCTCCCAGCTAGCTAAACTAATGCAATAGTGGGGCTATTTAAAGTGATACCTTAGACTGACGGCAATTAGCATTTCAGCTCTTAAGAGAGAGGAAGCAGGAGAAGGAAATACTCATTAGAACGTGCTCTGGAGGCAGACAACCTGGGTTCGGACCTCACGTACACCATGTACTAGCTGGGTAACCTTAGCCCAGTTACTCAGCCTCACTGTGCACCAGTCTCCTCAGCTGCAGAGTGAGGATATTGTAGTTGATGAGGCTGCTGTGAGAACTGGGTTATGTCCGATCATATGCAAAGAGCTTAGAACTTTGACATCTGGCAGCCAGCGTTCCATGAATCCCACAGTTGTTATCCGTGTCGCTTATGAGGAAAGGGAAGCCCGGGCAGGAATTCATGGTCGTCCTGTTGTATTTCAACAGCGTCCCTTTGACACTGACTGTTGGCAACATTTCTACCCAGCTCCCATGTCACCAAAATACTTGAGCCAACTCTAATCTATCAACCACTGAGATTTTCAACGATTGCCTTCTGTATGTAACTTTTTTTCTCTGGAAGGAAAAAAAAAGCAATCATAAACACTTCCAAGGTAGAACAAAATGTAAATACATGATGGCCACATTCTTCAGTGTCCAATTACCTTAGAAGTTAGTGATTACAGCCATAAGACAAGCTGCTAAAAATTTGCAGTGATTCAAATTTATTAAACCCAAATACACCTATGGTGTGGTGACACTTTTTTTTATTTTAAAGGGGGTAAAATTAAACGCAACAAAACAGAATAAAATAGGACATAAGAAAGCAATGTAAGAGATATAAATTTCTGAGATCTTCACAGTCTATCATATTGTCTCTTGTTTTCTTCCAAATAGTTGTCCATGTCTTCACATACAGAGAATTCATACAAAACAACATAGTATAAAATTGATCCAAACAGAATAAGAAAGGCAATTTAGGTCTTCAAAACCAGACAATAGGGACGTCACTAATGACTGTCATAGAGTCTCTGGTTCCTTTCAAAATAGCTGTCCATACAGAAGTTCAACAAAACAAAACAGGCAGTGGGGAGGGGTTGCTTGGTTTCCCCGCGTTCCAGGTCCCAGCATGGCACGGGTTCCAGTAAACGCCAGTGTCTCCCATCCTGGGCCACCAGCAGGCTCACAGCCGCTCACGGGGTGGGGTGGGGGGGTGCTTCACGCTGTTTCTAATGAATTGACCTTCTCATGGCCCAAGTTCTGAAATGGCCAACAGATCACAGAAAGACATCTCTGTAGGCTCCTGCTCGAAAGCAACAGTGTCAGGAAGCTGCCGGCCTTGACTCAGGGCCAGTAAATATAACTTTTAAAAAGTGGTGACATGAGGGCAGGAGTGCGGCTTCATCGTTTCCACTATATTTTTTCCTACCATTTTTGAGTGGTCTCTGTCTCTTAATAATAATTGTCAATATTATTTTTCTCTGTGCTTAACTGACACTAGCAAGTAAGGAGCTTATAGAAGATTTTTGTTTTTGTTTTTGGGCTTTTTTTAATTATTGACCTTCATGCCATGCTCAGCCCCACAAGAACCTTAATTCTTTCCTGAAGTTTGGGGTTGCAGTAGTCAGCTTCCAGCACCTCATGTGGGATTTGCCATGACGACTTCTAAGTGAGTGAACTTGGACAAAGGGAACAAAGAGGCAACTCCAGGACATGATGTGGTTTCGGAAGGTTCAATCTGGAAACTCTGAGCTCAGTGCTAAAATCAAAGGGCCTCTTATGATTTCCACAGTTCACTAGATCCCTGCACAGGGAGTACCAGGCGTGTGAGAAGCCTGGGATGCTTTGGAGCTGGGGCCCAGGGAGATGGTGAAGACAGAGGTGGGTGATCCAGACCAAAGGAACACAGCTGGGTTCAGGGAGGCAGAGCGATAACAAGCCAGAGCTGAGCTCGCAAGCAGAAGATGGAAAACGAGGGGCTGATAGTGATGTGCTCCACATGCCAGATTGAGGGGTGTGAGTCTCACCCAAGGCCTGGAGATTCCCTAGAGGCAGTGGGACTGAGGTGCCCAAGGACAACTGAGGCTTCTCGGTCTTGATCATAGTCTGGCACATTTGTTGAACAGAATAAAGGAAAGAATGAATATGTGAGTGCATTTACATTGGAAAACACACTGGATTACACAGGATGAGGAGGCACCAGAGACAGGAAGCCGTGTTGGGAATTCATGGCAACCATCCTGATGAGAACTGATGAGGAACAGGGTGATGGGCATGGACAGGAGAGGACACAGTGCATGAACAATGAGAGTAGAACTGATGTGACACGTTGAGTAATGGGATACAGTGTCCAGAGGGCAAGAGGTGTCGGCGGCCTGGCCAGTGCCCAGGTAAAGGGGACAGGGAAAGGGCTCGTCTCAGTGGGCTGCTGAGGAGATGTGCTGTGCTCCAGCATTCGCATCCTCTGGTGAGCAGATGTTCGGAGAGGAGCTACGTCAGGGTGGAACAGTAAACAGTGGGGAAAATTACACAGTTATTGTGGGCTCCTGGAGGGATCAGGCAACCTCCCTACAGTTCCTTGCCCTGCTCAAAGGCTGTGAGGCCCCTCATCTCAGGGATGCACCCCTGAAGAAAGAAGTAGCTGGGAACGAGAAGGGAACAGGGATGCGAGGGAGGCAGTGTGCAGTGCCAAGCTGGGGGCTGCTGGCAGCAGCTGAGGTGTCAGGGAACACAAAAGCTTCGGGAGGACCCACCTCACACTGGTGGAAACTCACAGGGAGGTTTTCCAGGACACAGAGCTGGGGCTGGCAGGAGCAATGATGGATTTAATGCTTCCTAGAGAGAAGGCCAGCATGGTCCCTTTTCCCATGTATAGGCATGAATTTTAGGTTGGATGTGGTGATGTCATTATCTTGGTGCTCCCTCTGCCCTGTTCCAGAGACTCTGAAAGAGATGGCGAGGAGCCAGAGAAGCCCCTGAAAGGGGTTCCCTGTGTCTGTGACCCAGCCCCCACGCACCAGCCAGTATCAAGAGATACAGAGCCCTGAGCAGGGTACCAGCTGGCCCAAGGGACACACACAGGCTGATCCTCTGACAGCCAGCCCTCAAACAACACGTGGTCTTCAGCACTCTGAAAAGCTGAAACACAGTCCAACAATGCTAGCTCCTCTGGAGAGATCCAAGCAAGGGCCACAAGGTCAGTCTGCTCAGGCTCACAGAGAAAGCCCAAGCACCTAGGGGTAGCCCCAGAGGAAAGGCCCTCAGTAGGAGAGGCTGTCACTCACAGGACATCCCAATCATGTGCTCTGCTCTCAGAGTTTTGTGTGTGACAAGAACATGTTAGTTAAGCACTTTCTCTATGCCAGGCCCTTCGTTAGACACTGGGATACAAAGATGAATTTGACGTGGTCCCTGCTTTCAAGGAGCTTGTGTTGCACTGGAAAAGCAGACATAAAGCCAAGTCACTAGAACAAATGAGACTATCTTAAGAAATAAGTGAGACAACATCACATCATTCAACTTCACACCAAGTGTATTTGAGGAACGTGTACTTAGCCCATTTTATAGATGATGAAACTGAGACTTTCACAGCAAATCATTTGCTTCCATTCCCGCAACTAGAGAGTGACACTGCCAGTGGCATCCTGGAGTGTGCTCACATGTGCTCCCGAGGGGTGATTCTGTGACCTCTTCTCATTCAGGGACTACTCATTGGTGGCTTGGAATCCACCAACAGATAGGTCACTTCACCAGCAAACATTACCAGTCAGGGGATAGCCAAGCAACAAACCCAAGTCTGAAAGCAAACTTCAGTCTCTCTCAAAATCTCTTGTGGACTGAAGCTTCCCTCTCTGTGTAGCCGCCTTCCCAAGGGAAACCCCAGCTCATCCTAACCAAGTCAGACCATGGCTGTGAGCTGCCGGCACAGAGGGCCAGACTCGCCTGTCCCCTCGGCTCTGAGCTAGCGTCTTGGCAAATGGATCTGGGCTCAGATATGCCACAGGGGCCCAGAGTGAGAGGAGATGAGTGGACACAAAGGGAAAGCTGCAGGTTTCCCTCGTGCAGAGCAGGGACCCTGGCACTTGTCATTAGTGTGATTACTAATTAGCGTGTCCCACTTGTCATTAGTATGACATCATCACTGTCTCCCCAGTGCCCTCACCATGGGAATGACTGTGGCAGCATGCCAAGTGCATACCTGGCCAGCAGGAAACCCCACCCTGGCTCTGCTGAATAAATGAATGACTGGGTGGATGAAGGGTCTCAGAGCTCTCAGGCCAGGTGGAACGGCCCCCGCCTGTCTGCCTGCTGCCTCGTGTCCTTACTGCACCCATCTTTGTCAAGGTAGAAAGAGCCTGACGCCTCTCACTGTCCTGAGAGGAGGCCACAGAAAGCCAGCCTGGCGCATCAGATCCTGCCGCTTTCTAACAGGGTAGCCTGTGCCTCAGTGTCCTCAACTGTAAAATGGGGTCTGGGGGGTTGTCGTGAGAATTAAATGAGCCAACAGTTGTAAAGTTTCCGGAAAACAGAAAGCACACTGTGTCCATAGGTAAGGCAGACTCCCCTCCCGACTCACTGGTCAGCCTGTGGAGACCTTCATCTCCCCTGCTCTTCCAGTGCAACTGTCCAGTCCATTGCACCCCCAGAGGGAACCCCTTGGGGACACAAGGGTTACCCAGGCACAACTTGGAGTGTCTCCTCTTTCCCTGCCCCGCCTCCAGCATCCCCAACTCACCCTCTAAGTGACCAGCTCCTCACCCAGTTCCTTCAGTCCCCCAGTCCCAGGAGTCACCACGCGCGGGCGGCTGCGCCACCCAGTGGCCGCCTTCGGAATCGATGGCAGAGGCTGCCGCATAAGAGGTTGGGGAATACTGAAAGGGAGCGGAGGAAAGGACCATCACCCAGGCACTGCTTGCTGGAGGTCAGTAGACTCATTGGTTGGTCCAGTGCTATGGCCCGTGGAGAGACACCCACCGCAGGCTTCCCCTCCCCCCGCTCCTGAAACCCCTGGCTTCCCTGCCCAAGGAATGCGCCCAGGGGGGCTGACAGGAGCCAGAGAGGATCTGCACACCGACACCCAGCAGGCTTGTCTCCCTGGCTGCCGTCTGGGGAAGTGACTTTCAGGCGCCCCAGTTGTTCAGGTGCTCTTCCCAGTTCTGCCCTGCTCCTTCAGTGCCCGGGTCTGTGCCTCGACTCTCCTGTCTGGGGAAAAGGGTGATAAAAATAACAACCTACTGAGTTCCTTCCTGGGGTGGTTGTGAGAGTCAACTAAAATCATCCATCCTGATGAAAACAAATTATTATTCAAAATTTCTGAGCCATATTAACTGTAGCAACCATGCTGTTACAGCTTCGATCTTAAATGTTTCTAAAAGCCATGAGCTGAAAACTCAGCCGCCAGCCTGTGGCACCATGTGGAAGTAGTGGGCTCTTGCTCCTTGAAGGGGACTTGGGGACCCCTGTGCCTCTTTCAGACTCCTCTCTGTCATGAGGGAGCCACTCTGCTCCACCATTCACTCCCTACCATGATGCTCTGCCTCCCCACAGGTCCAAAGCCATGTGGCCAGAGTGACCATGGATTGGAACTTGGAAACGGTAAGCCAAAATAAATCTTTCCTCCTTACAGGCTGCTGGTCACATGAAAAGCTGACTAACATGCATGCGAATACAGGAAAATGCCAGTACACTTAAAGAGTAAGACCTACAAGTCCTGACTGTTAAAAACTCAAACAAGAGGTTTTTATTGGAGGGGAAAGAAAGGAGCATGCAACTGAGATCCAAAATTACAAAGTTCCATGTGGGAAATTTAAATGATCTTAAGAATTTTACTATATAGAATTTAGAAGGCAGCTTGCTCTTTAGGAAACCAGTTAAATAGATAGTACTCTCCTAAAAATATTTGGAGAGTGAAGTAGAAGCCAAAAGCCCCTACTTGATAGCCAGGCATGGTGGTGCATGCCTGTAATCCCAGCAGCTTGGGAGACTGAGGCAGGATAATCACAAGCTCAAGGCCAACCTGAGAAATTTAGTGCAACACTGTCTCAAAAATTTTTAAAGTAGAAAGAACTGGGAATATATATGAGCAACTCCCTGGTCAAACCCTAGTAACAAACTAGGGGCTGGGAGGAAGGCCTTACCTGATCCATGTCGCAGGTAGAATCACAGAAGCAGCCAGTAACCTGCGATAACCCTCACAGCCACCAGGACCCTACTCAGAGTTTGCATCAGTGCCTCCACTTATGTACCTATGCAGCAATGCTCCTTGCCCAAGAACAAACCCATCCACTGGACCCATTCTGATCTCCAGAGTTGTAACCCAGTCCTGACCTCTGGCCCAGAATCACGAGAACAGAG